CAAATTTTTACAAGTGTCATGGCGAGAAAAATTGGGGATCACTTTTCCCGCCAAAAAATATTTTGTATTTTGTGGACCTAATTTTGTTATATTTCCTTATATATTTATGATATCTTTTATTAAAAGAAGGGTAATTTAGTCATTTTGTACATAAAAGGGGTATTTTTAAAAATGGACATCCAAAGGGGGCATTTTTGAAAAGGGGTATTAAAAAAGGGGCATTTTTGTGAGTCTCCCTAAATTAAACTAGATCATCACCCGTACTAAAGTACGGGTTGAATTTTATTTATTACAAAATTTATATAATATATATATTAGAACTAAGTTTTAATATATTATAATAGTAAGTGAAAAAATATTAATTTTTTTGTCAGTCCCTATATACAATATTAGAATTAGAATAAATATAGATTTTTTTCTATAATACTCAATTGTGGATAATTTGTTTTTTTTTTTGGTGTGTTGGATAATTTGTTTTTTTAAGATATGAAAACGGAAAATAATTTTATTTTTTAAAAAAGAAATATTTTTTGAACAATGAGTTAATTTATGTTAACAACCACAAAATAGTATTGCATATATTTCAGTTAGATCAAAAATAAAAATATCATAAATGAATCGCATATCAAACATAGATTATTTTGAACTAATTAAGAAAATTAGCTATTATTTTGAATTAATTGAGAAAATTCCTTTTCAATTTATAATTCTTTGGTTGTTGAAATTGAGATTTGTTTGAGCTAATCTAATTACAGAATTTGTTTGAGATTTATAACTACGGAATTTACCAATTATTCGCATAATCGAATATGTTATAAACATATATTTAGTATATAATAATACCAAAATCAACCTGTGCGTGGAGTCTATATTTTTATTTTAGAATCTCAATATTTCATTTTAAAATATTGCGTGCACAATCTATTATTCGTTAATTCTAAAATTGCTTGCGGAATCAAATTTTCAAATATTTAGAGGTCTCAAACCATATTTAAATGTTCTACACTATTTTTAAACATTCCAAATTAAAATCTTTAAATTTTTTTTGTAGTTTATAAAATTATGAATTTCAAAAAACAAATTATATGAAATTAAATATAACTATTCAAATAGTTATAAGGATCAAAACTCATTTCATCATATAATATATTATATTTAACCTGCTACCTATTATAAATATTTTTAAAAATAATCAAATTAGAGTATTTATAATTTTTAACTTTTTGAACTATTATGTATTGATGATATTCTCTAAAAATATCAAGTAAAAATTATTTTAAATGATGCAAATTAAATATTTAATTTTTTTATTGTAGTATATAAAATTATACATTTCAAAAAAATTAATGTATGAAATCGAATATAAATATTCAAATTCTGACCTATTGCTGAGTCGGAATTTTTGTTGAATTTATTTTTGTCTAAAAGAAATATATTACTCAAGTCTGAATTTTTGACCCGTTTAATTGTTTCCTTTATAGATTGAACAATTTATATGCGTTTTTAAAAATTCAAATCTTGGCATATGCAGAAAAAAAATTACTTTTTTTTTTATTATGTAGATGATATGATGATTTATTTGTTTCATATAAATATAATCATATAAAGATGAGAGGTGAAGTTTAATGATTAATAACAAATTAATATGGTAAGTTAGATATCAAATCTTATATGTTCATTTTGATTGGTCATTTAAAAAAAAATAACAGATTTTCGTTTTATAATTTAATTAAATTAATTAAATGACATAAATTAGTATTTTACTTATTTATCCTTAATAAATTGAATGAAATTTGTTCTAAAATAAGATTTTGTAATGGCATTCTTAAGTAATTTTTTACAAACGGAAAGGTTAGTTAAGGGTATCTTATAAAGTGTACTCCCCAATTAATAGTATAGGATACTAATATTAAGAGATATTAACTATCAAGATATTAGATTTATATATACTCCCTCCGTTTCAAAATATAAGGTGTTTTGGAGAAACTTTTTTGTTTCAAAATATAAGTCGTTTTCAAGTTTCTATGCAAATTATATATTACTTTAATACTTTATGATTATTTTTATTATGCAGTCTCTTTTATGATTGGCTGAACTTTTTAAAAATAAATCTTCTTAATCGACGTGCTTTTACCTAAAACGCCTTATATTTTGAAACGGAGGGAGTATAAGCATATTCTTATTTATATCCATTATTTGTTCAAGTATTTTTGGAACTAATTCCATAACAACCTATATTTTATTTATTTTATTTTCTAAGTATAACCAATTATAATTAACACAAAGATATTTTGCTTGATCACAAAGTTTTTTAGAAAATGTATTACAACTAGCCCTAAGTGTTTACGTCCTATATATATATATATACCCACTTCATTCTCAAGGGAAACCATCACTACTACTAAAAACGACCAAAAGTTTATAAACTCCATACATTCGAAGGGCTTATTTAAGCATTAGAAATATCAAAAGGCGGAGGCGACGAAATCAAAGAAAAGGCAGAAGAAGGAAGGCGTGAATCTCAGAAAATCGAAAAGAGAAATGCAGGAAAGAGGAGAGATTAAGATTAAGCGAAAGAACTTACGAATACGAACTTCAAGATTTTGGTTCTTCTTGGTTCTTCTTGGTTCTTCTTTCTCGTCTCTCAGTTTAGGAACAAGAACCGCCTAATTGATTTCATTAAATCATCCAACAAAATAAACAACCTAAAGAAAAGGTTTAAGTGGATCCCACAAATTAAACATCCTATTATACTCTAGAACTACATTAATAACCCGTGCGTGATATATTTTCTAAATTATCTATACTATTATTTGAGGAGACATCTGAGCTGATTAGAGTAAAATTGGCTCAATTGAGCCGATTTCGAGAAAATTACAAGCTGCCTTAAAAAAAAATCATATACTCCCTCCGTATTTTATTAATTGTCGTTTTAGAATTTTTATTTTTTTAAATTGGATGTCGTTTTCAAATTTCTATGCAAAATTTTTTACTTTTTAATGTTTTATGATATCATAAAACATTAAAAATTTTACTTTTTCAAATTTTACTTTTTCAAATATTGATAAAAACATTAAAAAAGGAAAAAATTTTGCATAGAAAATTTGAAAACGACATCCAATCTCACAAGATACAAATTCTAAAACGACAATTAATAAAATACGGAGGGAGTAATTACGAGAAATGCCACAAATTTCGT